GGAGACAGAAAATGATGTAAGATATGAAAATAATAATAATTTTAATTTACCAAGGGTTCATGAGGGTGGGAGAGTGGGGAGGGATGCAAAAAAGAGGAGCTGATACCAAAGGCTCAAGTAGAAAGAAATATTTTGAAAATGATGATGGCAACATATGTACAAATATGCTTGATGCAATTGATGTATGGATATTATAAAAGCTGTAAGAGCCCCCAATTATTTTTTAAAGAAAAGAATAATTTATAATTTATCAGGAGGTCACAAGGGAGGGAGGGAGGGGAAAAAGAAGAGCTCAAATAGAAAGTAAATGTTTAGAAAACAATGATGGCAATATATGTACAAATATGCTCGATAGAATTGATGTATGGATTGCTATAAGAACTGTAAGATCCCCCAATAAAATTATCTTTTTAAAAAATGCTTCTAGTTATCTTTATTTTCAGCAAGCAAGGTTGTGCCATCCATATATTTGCAGGTTGTTAATGAGCTTTCCTCCAATCCTGTTTCTTGTGTTAGTTGCTCAGTATACTGTGGAGGAGGAAGAAGAGAGATTATATTCCTGCTAATCAAAGCTGAACTCCAGCTTTGCACCATCCAGTGACTCCACATATCATACACACAAGGCCCCTTAAGACTGTCCCTTCCCAAGCACACCAGCCTGTGTGATCATGGGGTGTCGATGGCATTAGATATCAGGCATCAAAGACGCAAAACAAAAAATCATATCAATGTGAATGAGTGGAGACCCAAAACCTATCTGTAGACAATTGGACATGCCTTTGCAGGAGGGTCATAAGGAAGAGATGAGCCAGTCAGGGTTCAGTATAGCCTCGATGAAGCATAAAACTTTCCTCTGGTTATTTAATGCTTCCTCCCCCCGACCCACCACCACCACCATCATGATCCCAATTCTACCTTACAAATCCGGCTAGACCAGAGCATGTATATGGGCACAGGTAAGAGCTGGAAACACAGGGAATACAAGACAGATAAACACCTCTGGACCAATAATGAGAGTAGCGATACCAGGAGGGGAAGGCAGAAGGTGTGGGGAGAAAGGGGGAACCAATCACAATGATCTACATATAACCCCTCCCAGGGGGATGGACAACAGAAAAGTGGGTGAAGGGAGACATCAGTCAGTGTAAGACATGAAAAAAATAATTTATAAATGATCAAGGGCTCATGAGGGAGGGAGGGAAGGTGGGTGGGAAAGGGAGGGGGGAAAATGAGCAGCTGATACCAAGGGTTCAAGCAGAAAGAAAATGTTTTGAAAATGATGATGGCAACAAATGTACAAATGTGCTTGATACAATGGATGTATGTATGGATTGTGATAACAGCTGTAAGAGCCCCCAATAAAATTTTTTTTTAATTGTCCCTTCCCAAAACTGTAGACCTCGAGCTCTTGTCTCCTGCCCCCAGCCTGGCCCTCAAACTCTAACTTTGTCTCTTAGAAATACTAAACCATCTGTGCTGTGATAGTTACATAATCTGATGTCAACTTGAGACTAGTAAGAGTGAAGAGGTGGTGTTAGGCTCTCAATCAGATTGCAGTTTGATGACCTCATTTGGAGGCACAACAAAGATAAATAGCTCACTGGAAGCCAAACCCACACTCTCTGCTTCCTCTTCCTGCTGACAAACCACATGGAGCTATGCTGATAGAGCCAAAGCCCTGGAGCTGGAGGAACCACATGGAGACCCACACCAGCACTGAGATGCTTCCACCACCACTGGATCCACAAGATTTTCCACCCACTGGCCTGTGATCTTTGGCATTCTGTGGCATTGCATTTGTTGTGTGAGTCTGAAGAGGAATTTACAGACTAGTATCAGACTTATGGGCTAATATCTGACTTATGGACTTGATCTGGACTGGGCTGGGATGTTTTCTTAATATACAATTACTCGTTATATAAAGCTCTTTCTTATCCACGTATGAGTGTCCATGAATTTGTTTCTCTAGTCAACCCAGACTAACACATGTGGCTCTCTGCCTACACCCACACTGCTCTCACTTGCCTCTGAGACTTTCCCTTGCTGTCCCTTTGCTCGGCATGCCCTTTCCAAACTCTTCTGCCAAACTCCTCTTCATTCTTCCACATTTGCTTCCACATCCTCTCCGGCAGAAAGCCTCCCCTGACCTCGGAGCCCTACAGCGTCCAGGGTTGGGGAGCAGCCTCTGTGCAAGCACACCTGTCCAATCTCACGTGGCCTCTGGATCTTCAGGGTCTGCTCTGCCCCTCCCCAGATCTTCATTTGCATATTGCTTTATAAGTATCTCCAAGTTTTCATGTAGTGAAAACAAACCATGTAGGACTATGAGCCCATGGCTGCATTTTCTGGGTTATTTTTAACCACATCGATCCCAAAATAAACAAAATGTCCACCAAATCCTAGCTTACAACTAGGTGGGAGGGGACCCAGCAGGCATGGTGCAGAGGAGGGCACTGTACTGAGAGCAAAAGTGTGACATTCCAGGGTCACTCAGCAGAGCAGGGTGTTTGGGGATGGAGGGGGATGGCAGGGGGGTGGGGGGTGGGGGTGGAGGCTCCCACTCAGTTCCTCTGCCCACTGCTCATGTTGTTACTCGGTGGCCCCAGTATCAGTACTTGAATTCTTGTGGTTCATTCAGCTTCTCTGATTAAAGTTATGGGGCAATAATTTCCAAAGAAGGACGCAGTCTGAGAATCAGAACTTCCTTCTTTGGGATGGTTGGGTGTGTGGAGGTGAGGAGGGTGTGGGGGTGGGGGGTGGGGGGTGCAGGGGTTTTGCAGCTGTAGAAAGCTCCTGGTGGCTCTAGAACACAGCCAAGTCTGAGCTCCATTGCTCCGCTGACTGACCCTTGTTCAATACGGCACTGCCATTAATGGTCCTGGCCTGCCTATTTCACAGCAAGGAAACAGGAAGTGAAAGGAAGGTCCGGGTGGCACAGTCTCCCAGAAGCAGGTGTGTTGTTGTGAGAGGCAGATGAGAAAATGAATGGGGAAAGCGTGTTGCATGTTATGACCCGCCATGCGGAGGTACCTTGTCAACCTTTTTGTACTATTACCTCCCTGAACTGTTTTGGATTTTTCTTTTTCTTTTCTTCCTAATTTCCCACCTCCATCAAATTTTAGGAGTCCTTAGGTGTTGCAGTAGGTTATGCACTGGGCTTCATAAGTCAGCAAGGTCAGCAGTTCGAAACCACCAGCCACTCCAAGGGACAAGAGGAGGCATTCTACTCTGGTGGAGAGTACAGTCTTGGAAACCCATAGGAGCCATTCTTCCTTGTCCTACAGCATTCCTGTGTTGGAATTGACTTAATGGCAGTGAGTTGAGTTTAAGGGGTACAAGTGGTCAGCACAGCTCAATGGAATTCCAAGTCCACTCAAAGGTGTCTCAGAGGAAAGGCCTGGCAATCTGCTCTTGAGAAAGCAACTATTGAAATCCCAATTCTAGTCCGATGCACATGGGGTCAGCAGGAGTTGGAGTGAACTCATGACAATCGTGCTATCAAATTTGAATGCCACCAATATGAATCTGGCTATGTACTGCGTGCATGGCTGCTTTGTACAGATGAGGAATGCGTGCAAAATGTACTCTTCATTAGGTTTTATGTGCAGAACTGGCGGCGTTTCGCTCTGTTGTGCACAGGGTTGTGCTAAGTTGCTATGTTGTTATCGGAGACCATGGAGTCAATTCTGACTCATAATGACACCCGAGTGTGACGTTTCCAGACCTGAAGGGGGTATGTCCTCCCAGCCTAGGGTAGCACTTAGTGGCATTAGAATATCAGTGTATTTTCTCCCTAGCCTTCCAATGAATCTCCAGAAGGAACCTTTGTTGAAACAGTATTTAAAAATCACCTTCACTGCATTAAATATGTTTTAGTAGAATTTGCTCATTTGCTCACAGAGCTCTGTGCTGGGTAGTGAGGATGCAAAGATGACTAGCATCCATTCCACTCTCTCCCCTTCCTGGCTGAAACCTCCCTGAGGCAGGACTCTAGTTAGAAGTGAGTGCTCCACTCTCTCACCTCAAACCCTGCCCTCTTGCATCCTCTCCTAGAAGGGTCCTCAGTAAGAACCCGGGTGAGGGTTGGGCAGGGAGGAGGAAGAGTGTGGCCAGTAGAGAGTTGGTTCTCACGAGGGTGGCAACAAACTCTTCTTTTCTTCTAGCAAGTCTTGGTGCCACCATGCTGGGTGACCGCCTTGGAACAGTCTCTGCGCTACATGTGGACACGTTAGTGCTCCTGAGGCCTCCAGGGATCTGTGAAATGTGGATGGTGTCACATCAAGGAAGGGGCCCAGCTGTCTCTGGCTTCAAACCTGGTGCCCCCTGCCCTGCAGGACTCACAGACAGGCACGCCACCTCCACTAAGCCCTGAAAAAGGGGGGAGAACCCAGCCCACCAGCCTCTACTTTCGCAGGTTGGAAAGGTCTCCCTTCTCCCGCATGCGGAAGGGACCCTTCTGGCCAAGCTCCTGGTTCCAACCACCCCTGGCACACCCCAGCAAGACGGGCGGAGCGGCGCCCTTTGTACTAATATTTTTCTAAGACGGCGCTGCCTCCACCCCCTTGGTGCTCTAGGGAGATTTCAGGTAAATAATCCCACACAAGGCCAAAACAGCCACAGGGCAGAACAGAGAAGTCAACACCGAATATTGTGGGAGTGGATTAGGGGGGTTTTTTCTCTTTCAAAATTGATTCGTTTATTTAGTATGATTTACAGATGAGGTAACACGTATGACTTCGAGTTAAGAAATGTTCCAAAGAAGAAAGGTCTTTATCTCTTTGCTGATGTTACTTTTGTTTTAGTTTGGATCAATTACATGCATGTATCTGTCCATCTGGGTCCGTTACACTTTTTGCTTTGTTTTGTCTCATTTAAAGACTATAGCAAGCAGAAGTGTGGGCTCTGGGATCACAGGTTCTGGGATCAGAACCTAGGTTGAGTAGCTATTGCTGCAAGTGTGCCGTGTCCACGCACTGAACCCAGGTCCTTTGCATCCCCAGGTTGCTCCATCACGGAGGCCATAACGATCCTGGGCCACAAGCTCAGGGACTATCAGGATCAGTTCAACCCTACTAACCTGCTGGCCCTCTGCGACTACTTCCACAACACCTTCATCTGTCACCACAAGCTCTACCAGTATGTCCTGTGCCAGGACCAGGAAGTCAGCCTGACCCTCACCCCGCTGGAGGTGTGCACCCCGCCCCAGCCCCTCCCGCTGGCCCAAGGCAGGGACAGGGACGTCTGGCAGTTCGAGCAGCAGGTAGCCGAGCTCACAACGGCTGAGGTACAGAAGCGCACCAACGTGCTGCTCCTGAAGGAGGCGCTGTACCTGGAGCAGGAACACATGCTGCAGAAGACTTTCCGGGACGTGTCTGTGCAGCAGGGGCAGGTGCTGACAAGAGAGGTAAGGCTGAGCCATGCGGCGGGATCCAAAACCCTAGAAAGTGCCAATGTCCATTGCTAACACGAATTTCTTAACCAAGAGAACACCCTAGAAATACAGACTGCAGCAGGGGTTGTGTATCCCAAATGGTCCTTAGAAGTGTTCATTTAAACACACACACACACACACACCCAAAAAAAAAAAAAAAACAAGCACGGGACAATCTCTAAAGGGCAATGGCACAACAGAATGGATGGTGTTCACTTAAGATTAAGTCACCTGACCAAATAGCACCCCGGGCTGCTGGGTAATCCTACTGCAGAGAGACATTCGACAGGGGCCTAGCACAGCCCAAGCAACAACCTGGCTCCAGCCCTGGCACAAGGGGTCTTCCCCTAGAACACTGGAGCAAGGCCACATGCACCCCTGCATCCACATGCCTGCTTTCGCTGCGCCCCCACTGACCCCTGCCTGGAGGAGCATGAGGGCGACCACCAGCCCATCCCCAATGAAGGCTTACCAGCCGGGCTGTCCCCAGACACGGTGGATGAGGACAAACATTCTGAAGACTGGAGCAAATAGGAGGAGGGTCATATCCAGTCCAACCCAGCAGACATCACTGAGCAAACGCTTGTCCAACTTGTTTCTGGGCCGACAGTCTACGTGAGCCTACCCTCCCTTCCGACTGCTGTCCTTTCTGCTTCTTGGTATTCCCGGCTCTGCTCATTCAGCCCCAACCCCTGGCATCCTCCACCTGGGATCTGTTATCTGCCTTTGTGTTCCCTAACTCAGTGGTTCTCAACCTTCCTCATGCCGCGACCCTTGAATACAGTTCTTCATGTTGTGGGGACCCCAACCATAACATTATCTCCGTTGCTACTTCATCACTGTCATTTTGCTACTGTTATGAATCAGGCGACCCCTGTAAAAGGGTTGTTCGGACCCCAAAGGGGTCATGACCCACAGGTTGAGAACCATTGCCTTAACTCCTTCCAGTGCAGGCCCGGAGGCTTCACCTTTCACACCCAAAGCTCACTGTCGAGGTCCTTCCCAAAGGCACTTCTCTCCCCAAAAGGAACACAGGCACCAGCTCTTCAAGTTTTAAAGCCCCTTGACTCTTTACAAGAGAGCCCTGGTGGTGGAGTGGTTACTCATTAGGCTGCTAACCACAAGCTCACCAGTTCAGAACCACCACCCACCTATCAGGAGAAAGACGGGGCTTCTGCTTCCGTGAAGAGTTACCGCCTGGGAAACTCACAGCTCCCTTACACAGTTACAGTCTTGGAAACGCTGCTTCTGTAAAGAGTTGGTCTTGGAAACTCAGGAGCAGTTCTACCCTGCCCTATAGGGTCTATGGGGCAGCGTCGACTCGATGGCATTGAGCTTGTTTTGGGGGTTGTTTTTTTTTCACTCTTTAAAAGGAGCTCTGGCAGCATAGTGGTTACACATTGAGCTGTGATCTGCAAGGTCAGACGTTTGAAACCCCCAGTCACTATTCGCCGGAATGGACTTGATGGCAGTCAAACTTTCTGTTTTGTTTTCTCCTCGTTAAGGGAGGGATCATGGTAGTGCAATGGTTAAAGCACTTGGCAGCTAACTGAACGGCCATTGGTTCAAACCTATAAGCCGCTCCATGGGAGAAAGATACAGTAGTCTTCTATAAAGATTATGACCTTGGAACCCCTAATCAGCAGTTTTCCTCTGTTCTGTAGGGTCACTCTGATTTCGCGTCAACTTGGCAACAGGGGGTTTGGTTTGGGTTTTCCTCCTTGAGTACCTAACTCTCCTCTCCCTCAGATTGTGTTGCTCCATCTTCTACCCATCTCTCCTACTCGGCTCCTTTCCTCGCCTCCCCATTCACCTCTGCCCTATGCAATACAGCTCTTCCCCCTTTCCCCTGTCTTTACCACTCTTCCCTTCCTCTGCCATGGTCCAAAGGCAGTGTGTGCAAGTCGAGGTGGCTGGTAGAAGGAATCAAGAAAGTTGAAATTGTATGCTGAATTTTAAACGTTGGGAAGCAGAAGCCAAAAGACTTTTTAAGCTCATGTTTCTCATGAGCTTAAGCCCAGCTTCATAGGATAACCATGGCCCCTTCTCTTGGTAGAGCCCCTTAAAAAAAAAAAGACCTCATTGTCCTGAGTTCTGACTCCTAGAGACCCTATAGAAACCTTACAGGACAGGTTAGAACTGCCTATGTGGGTTTCTAAGAATGTGACCCTTTTACAGGGGAGCAGGTGGTGGGTTCAAACTGCTTGCCTTATAATTAACAGCCCAACTCTGAACCACTATGCCATTGAGGGCTCCTGGGTGGTGGAAAAGCTTAAAGTGGTCAGCTGCTAACATAAAGGTTGAGGTTCAAGGACACCCAGTGGTGTCTCAGAAGAAAGACCTGGTGATCTACATCCAAATCCAACCCTATGGAGCACAGGTCTACTCGGCCCATTAGAGTTACCATGAGTTTAAGTCAACTCCATCCGTGGCCATTGATACTGGTATCCTCTGAAAACACAATTTTCCAAAAGACCTTAAAGAAAGGGGTTATTTTAGATAAAAACCACCAAAGAGATATTTTGGAGCAAATACAAATTTTTCCATGAGATTTTAAGTTGAAATATGAAATCTCAAGAAAATGAATTCAAGACAATTGAGTACTTCAGCCATGTTCCCAGATACCCTGGGATATATAAATATTATCCTCTGTTGTTTGGATACCTAGGCAGAGAACTCTGAAAGACATAGTTACATGATGCGTGTATCCATGATGTTATGATTCCATAGCTTTATATAAGATGTTGAGAAGGTCTCCTGTTTCTTTCCCTGAGGGGCTGGTTGGGGAACATGCCCGCTCTATGAAGTAATTTCTCCTGTCCTCTCTGCTGAAGTTGTTACTACAGCTTTTAGATTTAAGAATGAGACTTAAGAAGGAGATGGTGGTATCCAGAGAGAGTTTGCATTGATCAGAAAGAAGAGTCCACAGGGAATATAGGACTGGCTTATGGGCCCAGAACAGTCAGTTTGGAACAAGTGGCACACAGTAACAGGGTAATTGCTGCCCTGGACCTAAAGAAGGCGAGGGAGAGGGAAGGGGCAATTCGTGGAAAATGGAAAGAGAGTTGTAGTGATAGGCATGAACCACATGACAGGTCCTGTGGCTTTGGTAGAAAAACCGCAGGCAACCCACAGTGTGTCCCAGAGGGGAGTTGGAGAATAAATAAGGACCTCAGCCTCTCTAGCCTCCCAGCCTCAGATCTCCTAGCTAAACTCCATCAGAAGTCAGAGATTGAAGTGGCCGCTGATACAGTCTTCATCGCTCAGTCTCCCGAGACCTAAAGTAGGGTTGAGATGATGGCGAGTAGACATGACTGGGTTGAGAATCGGATTGAGACTCGGCCTTCACCAAACCCTGTTTACCAGCAATTTTCTACTTCTTGCAGGAGTTAGAGGACCTCATCAGCAAGGCCATTCACATCCAGATCGAATGCCTGAAGGAGCTGTTGCAGTATGAGATACAGATAACGTTTGATATCTTAGATCTAAAGCTTCAGAAGAAGATTTTAAATCTCAATGCCCCCACCCCTTTCCCTCCCTCGGTCACTAAGCAGCCAGGTCAAGTTGAATCTGTTAAGGGCCGCAAGGCTACAAAAGAAAAGAAAGCACCGAAGTAGTAGACCCCTCTTGTCCACTTTAAAATATATCCTCTGTTTGTGAAGAGGTAACTATCACTGTGAAAGCATTGTGTGATGTACTCGGCATCCAAGAGATTAGACGTTTCTAGAAGTTAAAGACGCAAAGCAATACTCACCATTGTGTCTCTATCTCTCTACCATCTTCTGCCACCTTCAACCCAAATGGAATTTCCCTGGGTGATGAAGGACTGCTGTTCATCTCTGCTAAGTGCAGAACTCGGTGCTTGGTAGGTATTCAAAAGCCACTTGACCAAGTCTAAGCTCCACTGATGAAGGAACACGTGGATTTAACCAGGTAACACAGGGGGTGGCATCCGAAAGGACTTCCGTATGTATAGCCCAGTGGCTCTGTTCCTAGATAGGGCCTGGGAGTCTGTTTTCATACTGAGATCTCCAGAACAAGATGAACAGCAAGCAGCCTGCTTGCTATGGGTGGGTGTTTGTGTCCTAGAGGGATCAAGCCCCCTGGAAAACACTTGCTCCCGTGAAAATCTATAAGCACTGGCCTGGAGCTCACAGACCTGGTCTTGGATTCTGGTTCTGCCACTCACCTGCTGCGTGACTTCTCCTGTGCTCCTTGGTCTCTTGCCCCCGACCTCACCCCCGATTCTGTCTTCCGTAGAACAGGGAAGTTAGCTGGATCGTGTCCGAGTCCCCCGTCTCATGATCCCATCCTGGTAGAGAGTTGAGACCAGATTGACTATTACATTTTTCAGAGGAGGATCTCAAGATTCAAAGAGGTCAAGTACCTGCTCAAGGTCACACAGCCAGGCAGTAAAAGAAGTAGGATTAGAATTCATCTTCTTTCTGGAGCACAGTGGAAATAGCTCCAGAAGTCCTCTAGCTATTAGAATATCACAACCATAGTCCTGACAGAGGACTATGGCCCCAAAGAAAGACAGGCAGTACGGGTGTTATGTACATTGCCTCCTCTGATGCCAGGGATCTGCTCTGCCACCTCTGCCATGGCCCTGCTTCTTGCTCACCATGAAGTAGGCCACTGTACAGCAATCCTTCTCATCATGCCTCTCTCTCTAGGTCAGCAGTTCTTAACCTGTGGATCGAGACCCCTTTGGGGATCGAATGACCCTTTCACAGGGGTCGCCTGATTCATAACAGTAACAAAATTACAGTTATGAAGTAGCAACGAAAATAATTTTATGATTGGGAGTCACCACAACATGAAGAACTGTATTAAAGGGCCACAGCATTAGGAAGGTTGAGAACCCCTGCTCTAGGTGGTAGCAGAGCTACCTAGGTCTTGCCATTAAGTTGCACTTGAGAATCTGTTTTTTCAGGCAAACTCTCCTAAATTTAAATGCGAGGCTGGATTTACGTAGAGAGGGAGCCTCGGAGGGGGTATCATCAACTCTCTTAGGGAAGTGTCAGTAGCCCTGAGCTGGGAAGAGAGCCTCGCCAGCAAATGTACTCCAGACAGTTTGTTCCTGAGTTTGATAGGTCTCGTGTGAGTCTGAGTCTGAGCGGCAGCATTCTGCAGAATTCAGTGTAAGTGTAGGAGCGGCCATCCTAGGCTGTCCAACTCTGACCACGATCCCAGCCACCACCATAAAGCACACCCACAGCCTGAGTAGACGGTGGTAGAAGTGGTGGTAGCAGTGGATTTGTATCTCTGTGTGTTGGGGGAGCTTGAAGCGGCAAGTGGGGCCTGCTGCTTTCCAGGCCATATGCTGGAGCCCCACATGCCAGAGCAGAAGGAAACGTCAGGAATAACCTAAGCAAGGAGCCCTGCTACCTGGTTCACAAAACATTCGAAGTATTGGGTGAGCACTAGGCTGGGACCTAACGGGGTTACTAGCCTCTTCTTTCCTTTCCTTACCCAAGCATGGGAAAGTTCAACCATCCACTCTCCACACCCCTATGCAGTGTCTCTACCCAGTAACCAGAGAAACACAGAGGTCCTCAGAGACACAACCCTTTTGAACTCAAGCCATTCAGAGGCCGAGCAATGGCTATGGCACTGGCCTCCCCATTAGGGTTGGGATTTTACCAGAGTGGCTTCCCCTAGGGGAACCTGCCACCCATATACATGAGTGGACCCCCCAGCCAAGCTGCTCCACAGGAAAAAGGTGAAGCGTTCTACTCCCATGAAGAGTTACAGTCTCGGAAACCCATACCTGGTCCAATAGGGTAAACATGAGTTGCCATCAACTTGATGGATGTGAGTTTGGTTTGGGGGAGGCTTTGTGCTGAATTGCATTTATAAAGGTAGTAAGGTGGGGGAGCCCTTATGGCCAGGAATGAAGTGGGGAACCGTAGAATGATGGAGGCTTAAATGAGTGGCCCAAGGAGGAAAATCAGACAAAACTTCTACTACAGTGCTAGAGCTGGGGGGCATCCTTAAGGTCGGGAGTTGAAGCTTTGAATATCATACATTCTGTGAGGTGTAACTTGGTTTTCAACATCAAGATAAGAGCATAGGATGGGTAGTTCCACTGAGAAACTCTTCCCACCACCCTGAGGAAATAGCATCAAGGCAGCCTTTGGGCCCAGACTATAGGTGGAAACCACTATGAGACAGCAAATCCTCACCCTGCACCCTGAACTCTGCAAGGCCTAAACCCTTGCACTCCCCAGGCAGTAGAAGCATTAAGCTAGACTTCCAGGCCACGAAGAAGTACACACTGCAGGGACTTTGTGGGGAATGTCGCAAAGATGCTGCTGAGAGGGATATCATACCCTTTCAGACCAGGATTTTCAGCATAAAGATAACTAGACTCACATTTACTAAAAGTGGAAAACAGCAACGTCTGCCAATTAGAATCCCCTTGGGCATCTCCCTGCAGCATTTGGTGGCTGGGCGCAGATGGAGGAGCTAGCTAGCTACCCTGTTTCCCCTGAAAATAAGACCTACTTACAGTTTTGCCTCTCACGAAAATATAAGGCACCCCCCCCGAAAATAAGACCTCCCAAAAAATAAGGCCCCCCGAAGCTACCATAACTCTGGACTCTGGACTGTAGAGGCGGGTGCCACTGCGCAGCTCACTGTTGGCTGCAGCGCAGCCGGAGCAGACAGGAAGTGAGAGGTCTCTTTTAACAAAACAATAAACAATAAATGTGTACCGTATTCTTCTTCAAGACACCCCCTGAAAATAAGACCTAGCACATTTTTGGGAGCAAAAATTAATATAAGCCACTGTCTTATTTTCAGGGAAACAGAGTAGCTGAGGGAGAGGTGCAGCAGAGTTACAGGAACATAATTCTAAGGGACCAGCCCAGGTGGATAAAAATACAAACAGCTTTGCCTCTCCACCCAGCCAGAAGAGTCCTGCTGGATAACCCGCAGTCCTGACTCCCCAATAGTAAGGACAACACAGCCTATCAAGCCAAGTGGGGGTGAGTTAACAGGGCGGCCGAAAGTGGGCATAAGTGGAGAACACAAGCCCAGGAAGCTCCAACCCCATTTGGTAAATCTAATCCCCCCTCCCTGAGGCAAAGCACAGTCCCCAATCCCAACACACACCCCGACACACAACAAAAGCCCAAGACCTTAAAAAAACAGCCACTCTAGGGCTTTCTTTAGTTTACTTTTTTAAACTTCTCTGGCATGCAGCCATCACACACCTGATTCATTAACAAAGTATTAGCATAACAAAACCAGGAGAAAGTGGCAGCAGGTTTCACAAGCTTTGAGCCCAAACATACATTAACAGCTTTCCTGTGTCTTACTCTATTATTATTTTTCCTATTATTATCCTTAAAACTTGCATCTCTTGCCCCTTTCTTTAAATTTACTTTCTTTAATTTAAATATCTAAAGTTTTACTTTATCTTTTAGTTTAACGTTTCTTCTTTTCAAATCTTTTCTTTCCTTCTCATTCTCATAAAGTCAAAAGTTGACACTATACTTGCAGTTTTTAAATATTGTTTTCTATCAAGTACTAGTACCCCTTCCTTCATCATTGCAAGTCAGGCATTTTGGGGGGCTAATCTCCCTTCCTTTAACCTACCAAATAACACTACTCCCCATATCTCCATTTTTTCACTTACTGCTCCTTTCACTCTCCCTCCCCTAACACTTCCTCCCCCACTTTCTGATCACTCCCCTAATACCTAATCTAACACATTTCCCAAATACTTAATACAAACTGTCCATCACCCCTCTTCTGCACCACCTAACAGAGTTAATCACTCCCATATAACGCCACCTACCTAGCACCCCTAACAGCAAGTCCAAGATGTCAAGAAAACAACAGATCATATTGGTACAGACACACACACACACGCACACACACGAGAATCAGAAACAAATAACCGAATACTAACCAGACATAAATGTAATGCCTGACATTGAACAGGCTATGCATTTACCAGAAAAGTAATTTAAAGGAATAATGATAGTATTTGTTCAACAGTTAAAGGAAGAGCCTGAAAGAAAAAGTGAAACAATAGAAAAGCTAGTAACCTCACTAGAGAAACTCCAAACAGAAACACAAAAATCAAACACTTTTTTTTGATTAGCAGAATTAAAAAACACTATAAAGGAACAGCACAACACTATAAAAGAACAGAGAAACAGAATTTAAGAAATAGAAGCACAAATTAGTGAGCGAGAAAACAAATTTATAGATGCAAACCTAAAAGAAGAGCAAATAACAAAAAAAAATTCAAAGAGACTAAGAAAAGCTTAAGAACTATGTGGGACACAAGAACAACCTGTGTTTCACAGGGATCCGAGAAGGGGAAGAAGCAAAGAAATCCACACAGAATAGTCCAAGAGCTCCTGCAGGAGAATTTTACTCAATGTCTAAAGAAGGAAAATAAAATTATTCAGGAAAGCCGAAAGAACCCCAGCCAGGAGAGATCCCAAAGGACAACGTCCAGGCCTATTGCTGTCAGGTCTAACACCAGTGACAAGGAAAAAAGTCTAACAGCAGCCAGAGAAAAAAGACCAATTACATACCAAAGGTGAGCAACTTAAGTAACCTCAGATTTCTCAGCAGAAACTAGGTGAGCAAGAAG